ATCCTCCAGGACGTCTGTCCACATGGCCTTCACTCATTCCCCAGTCTAGCTTGGGCTTCCTTACGCTATGGTAGCTGGGCTCCATGAGGGAGAGAGTGGAAGTGGCCACTTCTCTAAGGATCTGGGCTTATAAGCTTTAGAACCTCACTTCTTTTTTTTTTATTGCATTTTAGGTTTTGGGGTACATGTGAAGAACATGCAAGATAGTTGCATAGGTACACATGTGGCAGTGTGATTTGCTGCCTTCCTCTCCTTCACGTATATCTGGCATTTCTCCCCATGCTATCTCTCCCTAACTCCCCATGCCCCACTGTCCCTCCCCTATTCCCCCCAACAGACCCCAGTGTGTAGTGCTCCCCTCCCTGTGTCCATGTGTTCTCATTGTTCATCACCCACCTATGAGTGAGAACATGCGGTATTTCATTTTCTGTTCTTGTGTCAGTTTGCTGAGAATGATGGTCTCCAGGTTCATCCACATCCCTACAAGGGACACGAACTCATCGTTTTTGATTGCTGCATAATATTCCATGGTGTATATGTGCCACATTTTCCCTGGTCCAGTCTATCATCGATGGGCATTTGGGTTGATTCCAGGTCTTTGCTATTGTAAACAGTGCTGCAATGAATACTCCTCCCATCAGCTGGTGGAGCTTATTTCTCCTCTCCTTGAATTTGGCAGGCCTGTTACTTGCCTTGACCAAGAGAGTGTGACAGACGTGAGGTTCTAAGTTAGAACTCAGAATTTAGAACCTCACTTCTGTCACACTCTCTTGGTCAAGGCAAGTAATAGGCCACACTCTCTTGGTCAAGGCAAGTAATAGGCCTGCCAAATTCAAGGGGAGGGGAAATAAGCTCCACTTGCTGATGGGAGGAGCGTCATTTGTGTCTAGGGATGAGAGGGAGTAGTTAAAGACTGCTGGAAACTACCACAGCATGTAACAGCACGTCACTGGGAGCTCCTTGAGGGCAGGGATTCATCTATATCGTTTTGTCCTTAGCCCAGGCACTTCCCGGAGCTGTCAGAGATTTCTGGTGACAGAGTGAGCTCCAGCCTGAATACTCCTCATTCTGTGTTTGGTCCCCATAGATCCTGGGCAGGGGGTAAAGAGGTAGTGAAGCCAAGCCACAGGCTGTGTCAGCTGCCTCTATGGGGACATTGCTTTAATTTCCGAGATATCAATCCAAATGCTGTCTGGAGTCTATTTCTGGGCACAGATTCTGCCCCTGGGGCAGGAGTAGGGCACATTTTATTCAGCCACATGGTTATCCAGGGCCCCAGAACCAAACACAGATTTAATAATTAAAGCTTGTCTCTTCTCTCTCTTGTCATTGTACATTTAGAGCATGTGGAAGTCATTAGTGTTGTTTGTCAAATATTGCTGGCGATGCACCTGCTGCACACATGGAAGGATTGCACTTCTTGGCCCTCTTGTGGTTGGGTGAAGCCTAGTGATTAATTCTGGCCAATGAGTTGTGAATGGAAGTGACTTGTGCCATGTATGGGGATTTAATTGCTGCGTGAAGCCCTTCAGAGCTTTTTCTCTCTGCCTTGGAGACTGGCAATGTTCGAGATGGTGTCTGCTCCATCTTGAGTGAGGATACATGGAGCAGACACCAACCAACCCATGATGCACAAGTGGCATGAGTGAGAAATAGTATTTGCTGTTTGAAGCTGCTAAGATTGAAGGGTTGTTTGTTACGGTAGCGTGCCATAGCCTATCCTGTATGATCCAAGGGCCTGGCTCATCTCGAGCTCATCTTAGCATGTGGATATATCTGGTGTGGGATAGAGGCAGGGCTCTGGGGAAAGAACTCACCTTCAGGATAGAAGCTGTAGTAGATCCTGGGGTAGGAATCCAACACTATATTAGCAGCCCAACTAATATAAACAACTAATATACTAACGTGTTAGAGTTGTAAAGTCTTCATAGTAACATTGAATGGAATGAATATTCAGGAAAGTGGGACCATTAAAAAGATTCCTACCCCTGCCTCCTACGTGTACGTCTCTTCCCTCCCCCTCCCCCTCCCCCAAATCCCCTCATTCACTGTGAGGGATTTGAATAGTTGTCTTAAAGGCATAGTGATTTGAATGCCCAGACATTTGCATATGGGCTTTCCTTCTGTTGCTTTCTTTATTCTAGTTCAGTTGCTCTCTAACTTTAGTGCGCCTAAAAATTTCTGTTCATGGCTGTATAAACAAACCCATGTATACTGTACTTTATGAGTGTGGTTTGAGTTTTTCAAGGGTACTTTAGACTATATGCAATTCTGTCTTAGGCACAGACTTCAAAATCTCACCTCTGTGTAAGATGAGATTCCATTGTTCAAAACCAAAAGAACCTTGCAAATTTTATGAGGCACGGAGGGCACAAGATGTCAGCGGCAGCTGTTCTCAGCCGATTATCCACCCATCCCCCAAGTCCTGTTGATTTTACACCCACGGTCTAAGCCTCCATCATCTCTTTCCTGGATTACCGTGAAGGGCTCCTAACTGTCTTTTTGCTTCTATTCCTGTTTTCTCCAATTCATTGTCCATATCACAGCCACGGTGATCCTTTCCAAACACCAATCTGGTCACATTCCTTCCCCTCCGTGTAATTCTCTTCACTGGACCTCCCATTGCGCTTACCAAGAAGATCGACACTTTTAATGTGTTCTTAAGACCACAGGATTCAGCCTTGCTTCATGTGAAATGAGCTCCAGGCTCATTTCACAGCAGTCTCCCCTTTGGCCTTTTACTTTCACCGACACATTCCTGTCCCTCTACCCCATCGCAGAGCCTTGGCACCTGTTCTACCATCTGCTCAGAATGTTCTTCCCTCACCCTCTCCTTTTTGCTTGGTTAACTCCTACGCATGCTTCAGATGTCGGTTCAAATGTTACGTCCTTGGAGAAGCATTTAAGCCAGCTTACTCTTTATTCGCTCTCACAGAATGTGTTGCTTTCCTTCAGAATATTTATGTCAGTTTGTAATTGCATACTAATTTGTTTGATTATCTGATGAACACTTGTTTCTCCCACTAGAATGTAAGCTCTAGGAGAGCAGGGGCCATGACTCCCTTGTTATTCTTGTATTCCTAGCACATGCCATGCATGTTTGCTGCATGAATGATTGGATGGTACCACAGTGGTTCAGTGGCAGTGATAGTGGCTGTGGCACCGAAAGCAGTGGCGGAATATCCATTTCCTTCTGTTTTGGGCTATTATTTAATCTTATTCTCACCTCTAGCTTCTGTGGCCTGGGAAATAGGAATTATCTCCAGTAGACAAGACTCAGGGCCAGCAAGTGGCAGTCAGGTCCAGAATCTGCTCTCCAAATGTGAGGTGTAGAGTTTCTTCTCAGAGACCCTACTACTTCCTGGCCTGGAAATTTGACAAAGCGAATGCCTCCTAAGGTATCCAGTGTGGATGATTTGCAGGGTAGAGGTAGCAAAGTAGCATCTTTTACAAACAGTCCTCCTACCTCTCTTCCTCTTTTTTCTCCTTTCCGTCTTTCCCTTCTTTTTCCTCTCTTTGATTCAAAAATCATTTTTGTAAATAAGGTCAGCAGGGGTGAGACTTTTTGAAACGTTTGGGCTGTGGTCAGCGCGAAGAAACTGGGCTGAGCACAGTTAACCTAGATAACCCAACCTGTGGGGCTGGTGAGGACCCATATGTACGATTAAGGCAGAAAACCTCAGACTTAAGGGAATGTGCTAATGTCGATTACTGTTTGTGAAGGCTTTAGGGTGTGATGGCGCCTCTGTGGGTAGGGGAAGGACTTCTCTTAGAAGGGACTAACATTTCCATTTTCAGTCATCCTGCGGGGAAGTGAATCCTAGAGCAGAAAATGAGGAGGTATGAGGTACACTTTAGCTGGAGGGGACATTTTCTTTCTCTTTCTGGAGCCTTGGTTTCGTTTGTTCTGGATTCTGCGGCCTGGAGGTATTTAGAGCATTATATTAGTTAAGGAAAGGCCAGCTGCTGTAACAGATAAACCTTAACATCTTGGTATCTCAACAGAATAAAAGTTTGTTTCTTGTCTCCAAAATAGATGTTCTGATAAGTGGTGGCTTTCTTCCAAGTGACAATCAGGGACCCAGCCACCTTCCATTTTGTGGCTCTCCCATTCTTAATGGAGAGAGTCTCAAAGTCACCTAGAAGCAGAAAAACTAACTGGGGTCAGTTCTCAGCATAGCTTGAGCAGGGAAATACATAGCCTGCTCCAGGAGGAAATAGCTCATTCACCAGAATTGCTGAATGAGCTGCCAACGCGTACCAGGAAGAACCAGGGGGATCCATGTAGAGGTGGCTCCTGGAGGTTTTAGACTGGGGTGGGGTTGGGGGGTCGAATACAAGTGCAGATCAGGGAGTGTTAATTGATCTAGGAATCCTTTCCTAGGATTAAGGATTTAATGTCTGGCAAGGACACTTGGAGTCAGTGCTAAGGTGCTGCTGAGATGTCTCCGTGAAGCTTGAATCTGCAGTTAATTAGATGGAGGGGGGTTGGTGGAATTGCTGGTAGAATATTGAGAAGGAATCAGGAGACTTAGAGATGTGATATGAGACTATGATATCCACTGACTATGTTTTCTGGGAAAGTCCAGAGGATATGTCCCTCACTAAAGCAATAAGAAATGCACTAGTTAGGGATATACAATATTATTGAGCTCAGAAGTGGCTATCTTCTGCAGGCAGGGTTGATGGTAAGAGGTGCTGGACTGGAACTGGGCTCCTCGATGACAATGGGAATAACGGAATTTTGGAATAGCAGAGGCCAGGTGCCAGCGGGTAGCAGAGGAAAGGTTGACTTGTTTGCCACATCAAGCAGTAGTCAAGTGGCAGCTAGAGGTCTTCACCCAAAGGATCTGTGCTGATAGCTAACAGATCATGTTCCTAGGAAGGGGACATAGGAGCAGCCAACAAGGTATCGCTTGCCTTATATAACCAAAAAAAGATCAAGCAAAAAAGATCAAGGCCTGTGGCAGCTTCCCTAATTAAAAATAATGAATCTTTAGCCACTTTCCAGATATGAGCCCCTAAAAGACCCAGAGTCCATTGATTGAGGAGGAGGCCAAGTCCCCTTGAGGAAGGACTCCGCAAAGCCACTTCAGGTATTTACAATACACATTACCCCAGTCCTTCTCCAAAGAGACTTATAGCTATTTATCAGGGTACCTGCACATTAGGGAAAGAGGGAACAATAAGATTTTTTGAGAGCTGTTGGATATTGAGTCAGGTGGGAATGCAAATGGCACAATTGCCCCCATATTAGAATTGGGCATATTGAGGGCAGGTGACAAGGGATCCCTGGTTTAACTCTGTCTTACAGTGGGTCTAGTGGATGCCCATGCTGACGCTTTGTTCATTTTCCTGGTTTCTGAGTATGTAATTAGAATGGATATACTTAGCAGTTGACAAAACCTTCATATTGGTTCTGAAGAACAAGTTGAGGTCTTTAAAAATGTTCTTTAACTCTTTGGTCAAGACATTAAATCCAAAGCAATTCCATATCTTAGGTGGCATTGTAGAAATTAGTATTGCCACCAAAGGATTAAATAATTTGGGGGTTGGTTTTCCCCACCACATTCCCATTCAATTTATTGGTAGGAACCCTAAAAATCCAGATTGGTTAGGGATAATGACCAGTGAACCACCAAAACAAGGGGTAGCTCTGATTGCTGTGCTGGAGATGGTATCTTTACTAGAACAGATCAACATAGCCTCCAGCATTTGATACACGGTATTTGATCTTTTCAATTCACATCAGAAAAAAGGATTAGAAGCAGTTTGTATTCACATGGGAAGGACAGTAATATATATTCACTGTCTTGCCTCAAGGCTATGTTGATTTTCTTGCTCTTTGTCACAATATCATCTAAAAGGACTTCGATTGTCTCGACGTTCCAAAAACATCATGCTGGTCCACTATACTGATGGCATCATTCTCAACAAATCCAACGAACCGGAAGTGGCAAGTACTGGGATGCCCTAATAAGAGACATGCATGTCGAGAGGACATAAAATCTACAAAGATTCAGGCCTTCAAGCATTGATTAAGCATATACAGGTACTGCTGCTCCTTGACTCTCCTACCAAAAAGAAAGAGGCATAGTCCTTGGTAGGCCTATTTGGAATTTTGAGGTACTGGATACTTATACTTGGGAATCGTGTTCTAACCCATTTATTAAGTGGCCCAGGAGGCTTCCAGTTTTGAATGAGTCTTAGATCAAAAGAGGACTCAGCAGCAAACCTGGGCTATAGTGTAAACTTCCTTATTTTTTGTGCCATATGATCTGGTAAACCAATAGTGTTAGAGGTATCTGTAGTCTGGCAAGCTTTATTAGGAGACTCACAGCGAAACCCTTAGTTACAGAGCAAGGCTATGCCTTCTTCAGTAGAGAACTACTCAGTGCTTGGAAAATCAGCTCCTGGAATGTTACTGGGCCCCAGCAGAGGCTGACCATGGACCATTAAGTGAATATATGGCCAGAGCTGCCCATCATGAGCTAGGTATTATCATATCTGAGTCACGAGGTTGACTAGACACATTAGCAATCCATTGTATAAAGGAAATCGTATATTTGAGTCAGATCTGAACAGGTTCAGAGGCTCAAGTAAGTGCATGAACAGGTGGGTTAGACTCCCATGTTGTCTATCTTTGTTGAACCAGCACCTTCCTCTCAGCTCATATATATCCCCTTGTCAGGAGATGACCATGACCAGCTAATGGAGGAGGAAAAATCCTGGGTTGATTTAAACATGGATCAGTTCAATATATTGGTGACCCTGAAGGACAGTGTTGAGAGGAGAACTTTAGGAAGCACAGTTAGGTCACTAACTTTTTATGGAGAAAGGAGTAGTCTGAGGTGGGTATAAACATAAAGTTTTGGGCAATGGTGAATTGCTTGGCTAATTGGTCAGGGACCTGGAAGAAGCAAGATGAAATGATTAGAGCTAAGGAGTCTGGGGCTAAGGGACATGGATGGCCCTAAAGGAGTAGACCCAAGATTTTAGTATTTTTGTGTCTGATACTAATGCTCACCAGAAAGCATCCAGCATAGAAAAGGCATTAAACTGCTAGAAGACACGAATTGCCCATTGAGTAGCAGCCACCCTCTGTCCTCAGCAGTCCCATGTGTGGTGGCAGGGATAGAGGCTCTTCATAGGCTCAATAACAGGGGCTTCTTCTCACCAAGGTGGATCTAGCCAATGCAGCTGTTAAATGTGTGACTTGTCAACAGCTGGGCCCAACATCAAACCCTCAGCATGGTACTGACTCTACAGAGAATGACCACCCATTTGGTGGCAACATCCTCTGGAAGAAGCAGCAATTTGTCCTTACTAAGACTGACAAAACTCTGGACATGGGTTTGTCTTCCCTGCCCATGGTGCCTAAGCCAGCACCACTACCCAGGGGCTTATACAGTGATTAGTGACATGGGATTCTACATAGCAGCTTCTTAGATCAAGACTCCATGCTTTACAGCAAAGGAGGTATGACAATGGACAAATGACTTTGGGATGCACTGGTCCTATTATATACCAAATCACTTGGAAACAGCTGGCTTGATAGAAGGTTGTAATCATCCCTTAAAAACTCAGTTAATGTGGCAGGTTGAGGAATGGTACTCGTAAGGCTAGAATTCTGTTCTCCAGGATGTGGGGTATATGTTACGCTAACAGCCATTGAATAGTGTTGTGTTACAATGGCCAGAATATATGGATGTGGGGATCAAGGGGTGAAAGTGGAATTGTGCCCTTTCACCATCATTTCCAGGGATCAACTTGGGGGAACTTGTGCTTCTTATTTTAGAATCTTAAGGCTCTGTAAGATTAGAAGTATTGGTCCCAAAGGATGAGGCATTTTCACTAGGGGAAATAGTAAGAATTCCATTGAACCTACAATAAAGATTCCCACCAAGTTCTCTTGGGTTCTTTGTACCAGTAGACCAGAATACAGAGAGAGGAGCCATATTTGCTGTTATGAGGGGGACAATGAGGAATACGTCTAGAACTTTTCTACCCTCCCTGAGAACTTTCCCCATTCCCCACGTTACTTGTGACTCTTGGAAACTATCTCCTGCACCCAAGTTGATGTCAATATATGGCCAGAACTATGCTTTTGAGAGAACACAGTAAGACAGTAAAATTTTAAATTTTGTTGTAAGTGCAATGGAATTCATTGAAGGGTTTAAGCAAGGGTGGCACATGGTCAGATTTACATTTTAAAAAGATCACCCTGGTGGCTGTGTGGAGAGTGGATTGGGAGGGTTGGAATGGATTTAGGAAGTTAGGGGGCAGTTACGGTAGTCAAGACACAAGATGGTGGTGATTTGGATTTGTATGATGTTTGTTGTAGAGATGGAGTGAGAAGTTGATGGACTCAGGATATTTTATAGTGAACAGAATCAATAGGACAAGAGTTCCCTTTGTCTGTTTCAGATCAGTTTGGTCAGAACTTTGCCTTAGTGCATGCACAGATGTTTGAGCACTCCTTGTCCTAAGGCCAGTGAATCTAGGACAAGCCCTGCTTAGATCTCTTACTGGCAGCTACTTCCTGGGAGGAAAGGGCTATATGTAAGAATTAAAGAGCTTTATCACTGACTATTGAAACTCCAGGTGGGACCTCTCTAGCTTAGCCTAACAGAGAGATAGTTCTCTCTTTAGGACAGCAAAGCTGAGTTCCAGTTCCGTTTGAGCCACCCAGAGTGGCTCTTGAGTCCCAAGGCTGTGGTGTTTACTTGATTTTTCACTGGGATGAAGGGCGTCAAGGACTGGTTTGTGGCAACACAGTGGCAGCCCTTGAGATTCTCAGAGATATGCTTGTAGGAGAGGTGCAAGGAAGTAGGGTCTTTCTCTGAAAGACTAGATTTCCTGTTATCAGTCAGCTGGGGGCTCCAAGTTCTCAGAGTAATGAGACTGCCTTGGTATTCAGGGGCCAGTCAAGCCCGATGCATTTGGATTGCAATGTTTATTATTTCGTGGATCTCCTGGAATGATTTTGGTTACCAAGACAGTTTTCCTAAAGCCTGAATTCCCCATGGCTTGTAGAATGTAGTATCTAGAGATGGTGAAAGTGGTGTCTCAGAATGACCAGGGCCTGGTGATTAGCTACCTGGGACTTAGTAGGGACTCAGTAGATGTGTGCAGGGTGGTGTGAGAGGTAATAATTCCCAGAATTCTGGCTGAGGTGACTGGGGGGTGGGTCATTGAATTCAGTTTTGGACACACTAAGGAACATCCAGGGAGTAATACTTAGCAGGCTGTGGAATATATTTATATTTCTAGTGTCTAGAATAATGCCTGGCATGGTAGGAACTCAATGAATAATCATTCAACTCTATTTGTTAAATTTTTCTCTCCAGTTCCCCCAGCAACATCCAAACTCAGTGACAGATCAGGAGAGTTGTCAGAACTTTTTATTTAATTGAGTCTCTAGGTGAGGGGTTAAGTTGGCTACGGTTGCAGACCTCTTGCTGATGAGCTTGTCTTGGGATAATATCTGGAGAGCACTTGACTCATTGAAGCCTCCTTTGGATATTCAAGGAAGTGAAAGATGAAGACCCACAGGCATCCGGGACTTAGCTTTTCTGAGTGAGGTGGATTGGGAGATGGGCGTGGAACAGGAAAGTAACTCCCTCCTTCCAGGTCAGGATTCTACTGTAATCTCTCTGACTCTAGAGGTTATAAGTACAAACTTTGGAGTTGGATAACATGGGTTCAGTCTTCAATCCACCATTTTCTAGCTTTGTGACCTTGGGCAAGTTATTTGAGCTTCAGGTCTTATTTTCCATATTTGCAAAATAAAGAGATTTATATTTTGTACCTCATAATATTGCTGTGAGAATTAAACATAAGATGCTTAGTTCAATGCTGGCATACAGAAAGCATTCAATAAATGCTACTGATAATTCAATAGTAATTTAATGTGACTACCATTAAATAATCATAGTAATCATTATTTTTATTTCTCCAGCAATATCATGCATTCTTTATACCTCTAACCTATGAAAAAGTATCAATATTATTATTCCCATTTTACAGATGGAAAAAACAAGCTTGGAGAAGGAAAATGACTTCATCTAGCTAAGAATATGGCAGAGCTGAGCCAACTGGTCACATCTTCTGACCCCAAACCCTGTATTTCCCATGACTTATCTTGTGGGAGGCTGAGGTATAATTGAGTAGGTTTATCTGGTCAAGTCCAACAGCAATGCCCAAAGGTGAAATTCAAGTTCTATGAGAGCAGATACACCTGCCAACTTAACCAGGAAAGTGTGTGTCCATGTGTGGGTATGTGTGGCTGTGTTGGAGGGTAAGGGTAAATTGGTGAAATATCTCCCCCAACTCTCCAAGCCCTCAGAAATTCCCAACTCACAAATGAGCGTATTTTTGAACACCTTTCTGAGACCATCTTATCCAGATGCATCTTTTGAAAAGCCTTGTCCAACAAGGCTGAATTCAAATGAAAGAGAAAAGCATTTTTTTTTCTCCAAGGATATCTCTATCCTGTGTCCCACCTGAGTCAACCGAATAGCTCAAGATCTGGGAGAAATCTGAGATTAGAATATCTAGATTTTAGTTCTGATTCTGCCACTTTATGATGTGAATAACTCCCTTTCTCTCTGTGGGCCTCAGTTTCCCTGTCAGTATCAGATGGGGACTGCTCCAGCCTGACACTCCATAACTCAAGGTTGCACCCACATCTCTTACCTTTGGGGGAAGGAGGAAGGGATTATGGGACAGTGCCATCAATCTCTTTCCTGGGATGGCTCCTCTGAGCTCTATATTTCTTGCCTATAGTGACCAGGGAATTTTCCTCTATTGATTGCTTTCTGTAATCGAGCTTAACAAATAGAACTTCCCTCAAATGATTCTTCCAACTAAACTGATAGAAAGCTAACCTTGTTATATTTATTGACAGAACATTGAAATAAATATTATAGGTCTAGAGGGAATGTTTCAGCTCATTGATTTTTTTAAGAAAATAATAAATGGAGCCTATTCCCTTTGGCATATTATGCTGGGAATAATCTGAAAAAATGCTTAGCTTGTTCAACACAGAGC